GCCACTGCACTCTAGTCTGGGCGACAGAGTGAGACTCCAACTCAAAAAAAAAGAAAAGATATTTTACAACTCTGTTGGCATAAAGACAAACATATTATTATCATTATATTAAATTTTTTCTTTCATCTAAAAGTTCATGTTTTTCCTTCTGATTCTGAAAAAAAATTAGCCTACCCTTTGACAGAGGAAATCCTGTTAAAAATATATAGCTTCCCTTTATCAAGGGCTTACTAGATGTCAGGTAAATGCATGATGATTTACATCTGTCTTCTTATTTAAACTTTGCCTGTGAGCTCGCATCTCCCATTATCTCATTTTACACACAAGGAAACTGCAGGTAAGTGACCGGCTCAAGGACCCACAGCCGGAGGTGATACCGCATATGGCTCCACGTGAGCCTGTCCCTTGCCACCATGCTACCCCTCTTCTCACCAAAGAGGTCTGGGAGAGTAATTTCAAAATCTGGGCCTCAGATCACCTGCCGGGGGCACTTACTGAAAATACAGGTTCCTGGCCGGGTGCGGCAGTTCAAGTCAGTAATCCCAGCACTTTGGGAGGCCGAGGCGAGAGGATTGCCTAAGCCCAGGGATTCGAGACCAGCCTGGGCAACATGGCGAGACCTCGTCTCTACAATAAATCAAAACATAAACTAGGTGTGGTGGTGTGCGTCTGTAGTTCCTGCTACTTGAAAGCCTGAGGCGGAAGAATCGCCTGAGCCCAGCAGGTGGAGGCTGTGGTGGCCATGAGCGTGCCACAGCACTCCAACCTGGGTGACAGAGTGAGACTCCAACTCAAAAAAAAGAAGAAAATAGAAGTTCCTGTCCAGACACGGTATTTCATGCCTGTAATCCCAGTACTTTAGGAGGAAGAGGCGAGAAGATTGCCTGAACGCAGGAACTCAAGATCAGCTTGGGCAACTTGTTGAGACCTCATCTCTACAATAAATTTTTTTTAAAAATAGCCGGGCATGGTGGCATGCATCTGCGGTTCCAGCTACTTGGAAGTCTAAGGCAGAAGGATCACCTGAGCCCTGCAGGTAGTGGCTATGGCAGCCGTGAATGTGCCACTGCACTCCAGCCTGGATAACAGAGTGTGACTCTACTCAAAAAAAAAAAGAAAGAAAGAAAAAAAAGAAAAGAAAATACAGGTTCTTGGGTCCTGGTCCAAATCCCTTAGGGGTGGGGTCAGGGGGACTCTGGGGCCAGGGTCTGGGAATTATCACAGCATCTGGCTGCCCGGGATTCTGATGCACACTAAACTTCAGAGTCTTCAAAGCCAAAGCTGTAGGTATGCATACGACCATGGACAACGCTCCCCTTTCCCCAAAGGCCACTGGAGTTCCTTGTCCAGGCCAGGCCAGGTGGCCCAGAGAGACAGAAGGATGTTTGCAGCTCCATTAGGTTGTTGACAATGCGAACAAGTCCCGTTCTGTGCCCTGCTGCCTGGTAGTCTGACCAGAATGAGAGTTGGCAGGTGCCTGTGGCTCCAGTCACCTGCTCCAGGGCAGAAACAGAGGGATGCCTTGTCCGGACAGAAGCTCACAGGCTGTCAGGACCAAGTTGGAGCCAGGGACAGGCTCACTTAGTGTCTGGTCCACCTTCCCCCCTCCTCCGCCACCCAGAAGCCCGGGCTCTTGCCCCAACCATGCAGACTTTGAGGCCAAAGAATGATCCTCTCCCTCTGGAATATGCTCATTTGTGAACTGCTTGCTTGACCATCTTTGACCTTAGAAAGTGGTAGCTTTCCTGGGATGATGAGCCCTGCCTCAGAAGAGGGGTGACAGATGTCTTAGCAGCCTTGCCATCCCCCAGCCAATTCCAACAAGACCTCTGAGGTTGAACACTTGGGGAAGATGTTTTCCCCTCTTAATATGGGCCCGTTTGATTTCATTTCCTCAGTCAGATGTTACATGATTTCAAGCATCAGGCTTATGGTCTCTTTCTCTTACATCAAAAGTCATATCACCCCCAATATGCTAAAGGAAATAAACAAGGAGAGGAACCGTGCATACATATGCTGTGCTTTGTATTTTTGAAGGTTACACATGGTGCTCATTGATGTGCAGACTCTCAGGAGGAACACATAGTGGGAAGAGGGGATGAAAGCTACTCCAGGGGCTGTTTCTGAGACTGGAAAATTAGGGGGTGAGGTCAGGGGGCACCATTCCTTGTCACTACTACTTCTTCAGCCATGTTGCTATACTACATGAACAAAGAAATGACAACAGGGAAAACAAGCACAACCCACAAAAATGAGGCTCTGGCTACAGGTAAGATGGTGCTGTGTTGCTGGACTCTGATGAGCCTCTATAGTTGCAGAAAGGTAACAGAATCCTCTCGTCCCACCCAGCCCTCTGGGCCTTTGTCACAGAGAGACCCCCCAGGACCCCCAGGACTGGCCCTGGCTGGTAACAAGTACGATGTAGTGAATGTTGCAGTGGAGGTAGGGTGTATGTGGGGACACCTGGTCCCGGTCCTGGACAAGGCATGGGGCAGAGCCAAAGTCCCAAGAAGGAGAACGTGAGGTGCGCAGGGCAGAACGTCCTGCTGGGGCACGTGTGTGAGGTGGAGACTGGCAGGATATGACAGACAACAGAGACCTTCGTGGCGTCCAAAGATGTGGCTCTCTCCCGTGGTCGTGGGGGCCCCTGAGGAGGTATGGGCTGGGGTGGAGCTGGGTATGGGCTGTACTCAGGATAGTATTTCAGAGCAGGACACCAGGGGTTACTTGGCTGGCTGAGTTAGAGAAGGACAATTTGGAGGCAGGGAGACCAGAGGGAGTAGCATTCATTCACCTTCCTTGTGAGAACATGATGGTGGCCTGGCCCCAGACAGGAGGGGGCAGGCAAAACCGTTCATTGCCCAAATCATGGGTGCATCTGGAGCTCTGGCATCTCTGGTCATTGCTGGTGGAACAGAATCTCCTCATGAGGACTTCAAGGTTCTTCCTCTTTCTGCAGCCTCTCATGTGGCGGGGTTGAACAGAGCCAGTGACAGCAGACAGGGCTCTAACTCAGGGTGTGAAGACTATCCTTTTGGACTGCAAAAGTCCTTGATTTCCTTTTGGACAATTCAGGGGAGGTATGAACCCAAGAAAGATAATAAACGATTCTCCTTCCAATTTGGCTCAAGTCAGGATAAATGCAGGTCAAAAAATGAAAGAAGCCACCTGCAATCCCAGTACTTTGGGAGGCACAGGCAAGAGGATTGCCTGAGCCCAGAAGTTTGAGCCCAGTCTGGGTAATAAATACAGTGAGACATCGTCTCCACATAAATTTTAAAAATTGGCCAGGCATGGTGGCACACACCTGTAGTTTTACCTACTTGGGAGGCTGAGGTGGAAGGATTGCCTGAGCCCAGCAGGTTGAGGCTGCAGTAGCTGTAAGCACGCCACTGCACTCCAACCTGGGCAACAGAGTGAGACTCTGACTCAAAATGAGGGAAAGGAAAATGAAAGCAGCTGGACCAGTGTTGTTTCCTAAGTGCAGGGAGCAGTTCATACCTGTTAGAGCTGTTTTATTTAGAGGCAAGAAATGGTTAACAAAATAGGGCCCTTGTATCTATGGGCTTTTGGCCTTTGTCTTCTTCCTTCGAGAGACAGATTTTTTGCTGTTGGTGAAGACTCTTAAAGACTGTAGCTTAAATTCGACTGGAAAGTGATCGCTGACGTCCAGGGCCTGTAAGGAGAAAAGGGAGGTAGATTTGGAAATTAGCCGGGCTCGGTGGCTCAGCCTGTAATCCCGCGCCTTTGGGAGGCTGAGGTGAGTGGATTGCCTGACACCGCGGGTTCGAGACCCGCCTGGGCAGCAAGACCTCATCTCTACAATAAATCAAAAAATGAGCCGGGCGTGGTAGCACATGCCTGTAATTCCGGCTACTTGGAAGGCTGAGGCGGAAGGATCGCCGGAGCCCAGCAGGTCGAGGCTGCGGTGGCCGGGAGCGGCCACTGCACTCCAGTCTGGGCGACAGAGTGAGACTCCAACTCAAAAAAAAAAAAAAAAAAAAAAAAAGATTTGGAAATTAGGAGATGTCTGGGAGATGTCTTCATTTTAGTGAGGACAAATTCAGGAACAGGGAGGGAAGATGAAATGCCCAAAGTTCCCCAACAGAACACACACTGGTGAGCACTGTCCCTGGACCAGTTCAATCAGAAATGTGGGCAGGTTCTCAAATCTCAGAATCATAGGCCTTGAGACTCAAGGTCCAATGTCCAACATCGTGTCTTCAGTGGTGACGTCAAAGGGTGACACCAACCCATCTCTCCAGGACAGGGCACAGAAAGACAAGATGGCAGCCTTACCTCCTCTTCAGTCAACTTGTAAGCTTTCTGGAAGTTAAAGACGCTGTTTGACTGGGGAACAACAGAGCTGACAATCTGTGGTCCTCTAAGTACGATCCTGGAGCAAGGGGAGGGAGGAGAGTTGTGTTAATCTACACAGTTGATTTCTGAGATCAAACCAAGGCCTGTGTATGACATCTGGAATTGACTGAACAGCTGGACCCTTTCATGTGCAGCTCAAGACCTGGTTTGAGCTGGTGACCCTGGAGGACAGTGCCTACCATTGTGAAATAGGATCAGTCCTTGCCATGGTCCTGTGGACCCCAGGACAGCGTCTCCCAGTGTGGGCAGGTTTCCCCGGTGGGGAAAGGGGAGAGTTTATGCTATACGTGGACCCTACACCATGCAGCAATGACTTGCATAGTGAGAATGCTGTTTCCTTTTCGATTAGTTTTCACTTTTCCCGATGTGATTATGGAAAAATTCTCAGCTAGGTGCTAGCTTGTTTTAATGTCTCCCTAAGCTCCCGTGTTGACAAAGAGAAAGCAGGCTGCCACTTCCAAGCATTCTTCTGACAAGAGAATCAAGGCAGAATTTAACATTGTGCGATTTTCACTGGGCTTAATTTTACAGTTATCTTCAATTTGTGGTAAATGATACGTGTTTTCTTACCTTAGTATTATGAAGTTAACTTATTTCAGTAATTAATGGATTTGATGGAAAATATAGAGAAAAGCCACAGTGCAAGCAAGTGCTTTGCAGTGGTGACAAAAAATGAGGATGTGGCTGTCAAAAGAGTTTGGAAACAAACTAACATTCCCCAGGTGGGGTGATGCTGTCGGCATCTATGTGGTCCTGGGAGGCTGAAGGATGGCAGAGTGAGTCACATGCCACTTTATGACGAGCCACTGGGCTTTTCCAGACTCTGACCACTGGTTCTGATGGTGTTTTAACTCAACCCAAAGGTAAGCTCTTCACACTAGGTTAGAGCTTTGTGAAGGTCATTCTTTAAGACTAGAGACCAAGCCGGGCTCGGTGGCTCAGCCTGTCATCCCGCGCCTTTGGGAGGCTGAGGTGAGTGAACGGCCTGAGCCCGCGGGTTCGAGACCCACCTGGGCCACTTGGGGAGCCCTCATCTCTACAATAAATCAAAAACGAGCCGGGCGTGGTAGCGCGCGCCTGTAATTTCGGCTACTAGGAAGGCTGAGGCGGAAGGATCGCTGGAGCCCAGCGGGTCGAGGCTGCGGGGGCCGGGAACAGCCACTGCACTCCAGTCCAGGCGACGGAGTGAGACTCCAACTCAAAAAAAAAGACTAGAGACCAAAGGACAGCATATTGATGTATCTGCTCTGGGGACGTGCATGGTTCAGTCAGGTATTCATGTGAAGTTTGTCCAGTCTGGTCTCAGACACAGGCCAGGTCCTGGGCATCACTGCATGCCCACCAGTGCTCAGCGCATGGGAGGTATTCAAGAAATGTATGCACACAGAACAGAGACTGAAATTGAAACCATCTTTAATTTTATCTCTCTCTCTATCCATCTATCATCTATCCTCTATCTACCTATCTATCATCTGTCTATCTATCTATCCATTTATTTATTTAATGAGTCAGGGTCTTACTCTGTTGCCCAGACTAGAGTGCAGTGGTGTGATTACAACTCACTGCAGCCTTGACTTACTGGACTCAGGTGATCCTTCTGCCTCGGTCTTCTGAGTAGCTGGGAATACAGGTGCATACGACCACATCTGGCTAATTTTTAAATTTTTTTGTAGAGATGAGGTCTCACTATGTTGCTCAGGCTGGCTTGGAACTCTTGGGTTTAAGCAATTCTTCCACCTTGGCCTCCCAAAATGCGGAATTTATAGACATGAGTCACCATACCTGGCCAACTCCATTTTAAAAATAGCTTTTTTTTTTTAGTTGGGGTCTCACTGTGTTGTCCAGACTGGATGCAGTGGCCACTCCTGGCCACTGCAGCCTTGACCTGCTGGGCTCCGGCGATCCTTCCGCCTCAGCCTTCCAAGTAGCTGGAACTACAGGCGTGCGCTACCATGCCCGACTAATTTTTTGATTTATTGTAGAGATGAGGTCTTGCCAAGTTGCCCAGGTGGGTCTCGAACCCGTGGGCTCAGGCAATCCACTCACCTCAGCCTCCCAAAGTGCTGGAATTACAGGCTGAGCCACCGAGCCCGGCTTAAAATAGCATTTTAATGACTTTTTTAAAGTGACTTTTTAAAAAACCACAAAAGTTATACATGTTGTTATGGAAAACAAAAAATTTGGAGCATCACAATAAGAAATTAATTTTTTTTTTTTTTTTAGTTGGAGTCTCACTCTGTTGCCCAGACTGGAGTGCAGTGGCCGCTCCCAGCCACTGCAGCCTCGACCTGCTGGGCTCCGGCGATCCTTCCGCCTCAGCCTTCCAAGTAGCTGGAACTACAGGCATGCACTGCCATGCCTGGCTGATTTTTTGATTTATTCTAGAGATGAGGTCTCGCCAAGTTGCCCAGGCGGGTCTCGAACCCTCAGGCTCGGGCAATCTACTCACCTCAGTCTCCCAAAGGCGTGGGATTACAGGCTGAGCCATCGAGCCCAGCTGAAATTAATTTTTTTTAAGTACGTGTAATCCCGCCATCCTTTGGTATATGTGTATATAAAATAAGAGTTCTTTTAGAAAACCATCTTTTTTTAAACTTATTCTACCACCCTAGTTAATTTATTGTGGATATCTTTCCTTACGGTGGACTGTTTTACTGCAACGTTATTTTCAAATATGCCTATCTCATTTGCCAAGGAAGAAGGAGGAGGCAGGAGAAGAGACTTGAGCTGCCCAAGAGGACACACCTGGCATGTGTGAGTGAGTGGGGCCCTCTCCCCAGCTTTTCTAGAAGCCCTCCAGCTTGGCTGGAGCAGTCTGGGCTCTCAGGCTCCTGTTACTTCCTACCTTGAGTTTCCACTTTGATGACTTCTGCAAAGGAAACACCAGCCCCAAAAACTTCAAGAGGAACAAAGGAGGTCATGGGACGGAAATGAAAGTCAGACCTCAAAATCAGAGAAGTGAGAACAACTGGCTGCTCTCTTGCAGATGGTCATCTCATACTTTCTCAGAGGCAGGCTGAGCTCTGGGAACTGCGGCCACCGCCATGTTGGGACCAGGTTCCTGGGGTTCCCTGACTGCAGTTCTGCTGCTGAAGATCACTAATGTTCACTTGTGTCAGGCACTCCCTCCTCCCTCCTGACCAAAGCAGCAAAAATGAAAGCTGCTTGAAAATCCCCAAAGAAGGCTGGGTGCTGTGGCTCACACCTGCAATCCCAACACTTTGGGAGACCGAGGTGGGCGGATCACTTGAGCCCAGTTCAAGACCAGCCTGAGCAACATAGGGAGACTTTATCTCTACCAAAAAAAAAAAAATTAGCTGCATATGGTAGTGCATGCCTGTAGTCCCAGCTGCTTGGGAGGCTGAAGCAGAAGGATTGCTTGAGCCCAGGAGGTTGAGGCTGTGGTAGCTGTGATTGTGATTACCTACTGCACTCCAGTCAGTGCGACAGACTGAGACTCCAACAAAGAGAAAGAAAGAAAAAGAGAGAGGGACAGAGGGAGGGAGGCAAAGAAAAATTCCCAAAGAGACTTTAAAAGACCAAGGGAATGCTGCAATTTAAATGCATGCATTTGCATTTAGGAATGTGTAATAAAAGCTTTAAAAGCATAAATGCCCTAACTAACTGGTCCCATTTTTAGAGTTTTGCCTTGAGGAAACCATGCCCATTTCAGCTGTATTTATAACTGCAAACCCTTGGTAATAATCTAGTGCTCTATTGTGGGACTTGTCTGAATAAATTGTGGTCAGTCTTTGTGATGGAAAAATGAGCAGCCAATTAATGTACTGAGCACTTGCCATGGGCAGGCCTAGCAGCCTTACATATGTGACCTCATTCACTCCTCATCATATCCCCATGGGGGAGGCACTACTACAGTCTCCATTTTACAGGTGAGGAGATGATGGCATTGGAAGCTTAAGAGTCTTGGTCACAGACACGTTAAGTGGTCGAGTTGGGATGTGAATCCAGGCCTGTCTGACACCAAAGCCAGTGTTTACCTCTACTATGCTACAGTGCCCAGGGCCACCACGTAGGGTCATGCAGTTTGTACACTGGTACCCAGTGGAGGGGCCTGAAATGTAACTGACTTGGCTCCCCAAGCCTGTGCCTTTCTAGTGCATACTTAGTACCGTGTGGGCCAGCTACAAACTGCAGAGGCCTCCTACCTGTCATATGCACAGCTGGTGCTGCTCTTGACGGTGGTGTCCTCCCGATCCCCAATCAACCAAACGAATCTGGGGTCAGTCCTTAAGCGGATGCTCTTCCAGGCCTTCTTGGGGACATAGCTGCAGCCGGCGTTGAAGTCACCCATGAAAATGTAATTCTAAAAGACAAGACCCGGGTCTGTCACCTGGCAGTGCTGGCGCAGAATGCTTTCACTCGGGACTGCTAGCAATGACTCTACCTCTCGTGCCCAGTAAATAATGGGGTCTGTTACAGGCTGAATTGTACCCCCCTCATTCATATGTTAAGGTCCTAACCCCCATATCTTAGAATCTGACTGTATTTGGACATAGGGTCTTTAAAGAGCTACTTAAAGTAAAACGAGATCATATGGGTGGGCCCTAATCTAATATGACTGGTGTTTTATAAAAGGGGGATTAGGATACAGACAGATATAGAGGGAAGACCACGGAAAGACACTGGAAGAAGATGGCCATCTACAAGCCAAGGGGAGAGACCCTCAAAAGAAAACAGCCCTGCTGACACACCTTGATCTGGAACTTCCAGCCTCCAAGACTGTGAGGAAATAACTTCCTACCATTTAAGCCACTCAATCTTTGGTACAGTACTTTGTTACGGTAGCCCTAGCAAACTAACAAGGGTCTTTCTTAATTTCTTTTTGCTTTTTATGAGATGAGGCCACAATTTAAAATTGAGTCACAGTTTTGATGACAGGTGAGTGTGTAGCAGGGAGGGTGTTCCTAACAGAAAGGTGGAATGTTTGCTGTTCTTTGTCACTGCATTTCTATAATCCAGCATGCAGAGTTAGGTGGGAATAAAAGCACCCAGCTAATATAGCCCCTCACATATTTTGTCTCTGTCTTAAACTGCTGCAGGGTATTAGCATATGAATGAATGAATCAACACTTTTTGTTTCCAAGCAGGAAAAATGGGTTGGGTGGTGTACTGACAGCCTTGGCATAACTCTTTTTCTCCTATTGTTTTGAAGTTGGAAACTTATTCCTGAGGAAATTCAGTCTGTTGAGGAACTGGAAGGAATTTTAAGGAAAGGGGACCATCGGGTGAGCTGTCCATTCCCACCCAAGGCCACCATCAGCAACTTGAAAGTATTTTTCTCTGCAGGGTTCTTGGAACAAAATTGTAACCTTCCACAATACAGAGGAAGTGTCAGATTTCCTTGTTTGTGCTGTTGTTGGGGCGAGGCAAATTGCTGACTTTAGAGTTCTCTTCAAGAACATTTTATTTTGACCTCAGTGATCATAATTTCCCCTGAGATTAATGGGCGCAGTGGAGGACAGAATGTCATCTTTACCCTGAGTGTCACCAGCTTCTACTAATGCAGGCATGATTTGCTTGGCATTCCCCACGTGCCAGGCCTAGTGTCAAGTGTTTTTTAAAGTTTAACTTTTACCTTGCAACAATAAATACTAGAAGGTAGAAAGGCCCAGTAGCCTCCGTAGAAACAAGATAGAGGGATTAAGTGCCTGCTCTAGGCCGCACAACTGAGAGGTTCAAGTGGTGAAGTCAAGAATCAGACCAGGATCTGCCTCCCTGAAGGTCCCTCATCACAAGAGTTTCCCCTCTTGTTCATTTTTGAGGCACTGCTGCCTCCCCACAGCCTGACACTCAATAGATGCTCAATACATTCTTGTCGAATGAGTGATTTTCATGATGTTTGGAATGAATGAATGGGTCTTTCCTTTGCCCTGTTATTTACTAATAAGCAACTAAATCCACTCCTTGTCTTCTCTACGCCTCAGCTCTGATCAACTATGTTCACCCTTGACTCATTTTGCACTTTGAGCAGCGGAACTAGGGAGGAGGAAGGGGGATCACAGGAGCCACAATCCGGAAGGAGAAAAGAGGAATACGGAAGAAGAACCCTGGAGTACTTCCATATTTGCCAAGGGCTTTCACAGACTATCACAGTCACAGGTGGTAGCATCCCTGCCTTCCAAAAGTAGAAATAATTGAGGCCTATCGATGGCAGATTGTATGCCCTCTCCTGTGAGAAAAGTACCCTAAGATTCTCTGGGAAACCATCCCTCCCTCCCTCCTCCACATCAGTCCATGAGATTGGGGAAGGAACCGACACAGATTTAGCCAGAGTATCTCAATCCTTCCATCACAGTGATTGGTTCAGGGATGAACCTATGACCCAATCGGAGCCAATGAGACTCAATCAAAGGGTATTGTGTTACGGGAAAGAAAAATTGTCAGTTGGCCTGGAGGCTGCAGGTGGCCATTTTGTCATCCCAAGGTCAGACCGGCCCATGCAGAGGAAAGGAGGCCAAGAGATGGAAAGGAAGAGACAGATCAAGCCCTGGTGACTTTGTCTAAGCCCTGGTTACAGCCATGCCTGAACTATCCCTGGACGTTCTAGTTGCATAAACCAATAAATTGTTTCTCCTTTTCATGAGCCAAGCAAAGATTCTGTTGCTTGCAGCCAAAACACTCCTTATCTCTTTATGTTTCACCCTTCTCAATTGCAAAGTGGGAATGATTAAAAGTACTGTAGTGACCTCATGGAATTACTGGTAAGATTAAATAAACGTGTCCATGTCAAACCTCAGCACAGAGCCTGGTACCAACCATTCAGAACATGCTGGTATCCATTATAAATGGGACAGTATATGAATACCCAAGGCCCATGTGGACGGTACCCAGGCAGAATTAGCAAGAAAAATACTTAGGGCTAAGGACAAGGCCTAAAACGAGGCTGCAGAGTGTTGGTGGCCTGCATGTGCCCTGCCTCCTCGTCCCCACGGGAGAGGTACTCATCCCACTCAAGGACCAGAGCCTGCCCTTGCTACGTGGAATCTGACAAACAGAGAGGTCGTCACCTCTGCCTTCCAGCGGCGTTTCACATCCATGTAGACATCAGCCAGCTCGTCAATCTCTTTGATGGATGTCTCGGGGGTGGTGTGCAGGGGGACAATCACGAAGTCCTTGACAGCTGAGAGACAGGAAAAAGGCGGAGGTCACACACTTCCCCTGTCAAGATCCCACGAACACTGCTTGAAGGTAACAGGCTCTCCCCTCCAGAAGGCACAGGCTGCGTCTCTGTATCCCCGGTTTCCAGAGGGTCCAGCCAGTGGCTGAATTTCAATTATATTAGGGTCATTAGGCTGCTTATTTTTAGTACACAAAAGACTCTTCTCCCACTTGCCCCTTACAGCTAAGAGAAAGCTGGTAGACCGTGTTCCTTGCTGGTATAGTGGATGCTTTTATTTTCTCGTTTTTTGACAAAAGTTTTTCTTTCTTTTCTCTGAGACATTTTTTTTCTTCCTCTTTTTTAATTAACAAATAAAAATGGTACATATTTATGGTTTTATTTTCTATTTTTAAATAAGAAGCCTGTAAGCCGGGCTCGGTGGCTCAGCCTGTAATCCCACGCCTTTGGGAGGCTGAGGTGAGTGGATTGCCTGAGCCCGCGGGTTCGAGACCTGCCTTGGGCAGCGAGACCTCATCTCTACAATAAATCAAAAAATCAGCCGGGTGTGGTAGCGCATGCCTGTAATTCTGGCTACTTGGAAGTCTGAGGTGGAAGGATCGCCGGAGCCTAGCAGGTCGAGGTTGTGGTGGCCGGGAGCGGCCACTGCACTTGAGTCTGGGCGACCGAGTGAGACTCCAAATCAAAAAAAAAAAAAAAAAAATCAGCCGGGCGTGGTAGCACGCCCCTGTAATTCCGGCTACTCAGAAGGCTGAGGCAGAAGGATCGCCGGAGCCCAGCAGGTCGAGGCTGCGGTGGCCGGGAGTGGCCACTGCACTCCAGTCTGGGCGGCAGAGTGAGACTCCAACTGAAAATAAATAAATAAATAAATAAATAAATAAGAAGGTTGTTTGACTTTTGTACTAAGGAAAAAAATTTTTTCCGTTAAAAAAAATTGAGCCCGGGCACGGTGACTCATGCCTATAATCCCAGCACTTTAGGAGGCCAAGGTGAGAGGATTGCCTGAGACCATGGGTTCAAGACCAGCCTGGGCAACTTGGCAAGACCTCATCGCTACAGTAAATAATTTAGCTGGGCGTGGTGGCATGCACCTGTAGTTCCAGCGACTTAGAAGGCTGAGGTGGAAGGGTCATCTGAGCCCAGCAGGTCGAGGCTGCAGTGGCTGTGAGCATGCCACTGCACTCCAGCCTGGGCAACAGAGTGAGACTCCAACACACACACACACAAAATTAGGCTTGTCAGTTTGTACTCCTTTTGTAATCAGAAATTAAAACAAAAAGCTATTTAAAATTAACATGGCACATTGTGAAGTGTCTAAGTCCTCCTGGCTTGGAACTTTCTACCTCGTGAGGCAGAGGCTGGGGGTGGGGAGTGGAGAGTGGTCTTCACTGTTCAAGTCACACAGCCCAGCAGCCTGAACCCAGTGCTCCATGCTCCCCACCAGCCTCATCACCAGTTCTCCTCCTCAGGCCTCCACTTCACCTCCCCCACCCTCATTTTGGGCCCCCTAAACATGCCAAACTCTTTCCCACTTCTAAGCTTTTGTGCTCACTGTGCCCTCTACCTGGAATGCCCTCTCTTCTGTTCTCTGCAAGGCTGGCTTCTTTAGGTCACAGGACACCTAAGGTGGGCTCCCTGCCCTGCTGTTCAATGCCCTCTGCTTATTACTTCCTTCTTGCTCTGAAATTACTCTCTTTGCTTCTTTGGCCCACTAGAACCTAAGTTCCATGTGGGCAGGCTCTCTTGCCTCCAGAACCTGGCACGGTGCCTGGCACATGGGAGGTACTCAGAAATATTTGTTGACTAAATACATGAATGAATGAATGATTGGATAAATACATAACAAAGGAAAAGATAGATGAATAGCGAACTCTTTTGCCTTTAATCCCAGATCCAGGGGACATAGGTTTCCTTGTACAAGAAAGAAAATTCCAAACAGGTGGTGCTATCCCAGGAGAAAGAAGAAGGGGTAGGGAAGGGTGGAAGGGTGGAGGCTCAGGATAAACAGGTTTGTTTAGCAATTCACAAAGACTCAGGACTCTCTTTGAGAAGAAATAACTCTTGGGGTTGGGGTGGGGAACTCGCCAAACACTGCCCTGGTCAGCCAAATGGAATTGTGTGCATGACGAAAACATTATTATATTCTCTGAAGGGCACATGCTCTCTGAAGCGCTTTTCTTGCCCTCAATAATCCCCTCCTCCTTCTCTATTTCTACTGGGAATTTCCCCATGGCACTCCCATGCATGTCTTCCTACAGTACTCTGTGAGCCTGGGCAGAAATAGTTAACTTCATAGTTCAAGATGTTTCTATTGGTATAGTATGCACTGTGCATCTATTTATTTGGTCATGATCCATCTCCCCTACTGCAAAATAACTTTATGAGGACATGAACCTTGTCTGTCTTGTGCAGTGCTCTCAACAGAGCCTGGCACATAGCAGGTACTAAAAAAAATACTTGAATCTAAGTAGCTGCAATTCACAAACCAAATTCTTGACTCCATTGAATGTCACATAGTGGTTAAGAGCATGGGCTCCTGAGGTAGTGGCATAAGTTCCAATCCGGGCTTGTCCACTTCTATGGCTGGGTGACTTGGATATGTGACTCTACCTTCTTGAACCTCAGTTTCCTCAGATGTAAAGTGGAAATAATCCTAGGCCCCACCTTGTAGAGTCATTGCAGGGATTACAGGAGGCTGGCCCTTAATCAGGGACCAATACAAGTCCTATTTTATTTTATTTATTTATTTTTTAAATTCAGAGTCTCAGTCTGACGCCCAGGTTGGAGCACAGTAGCATGCTCACAGCTACCATAGCCTCAACCTGCTGGGCTCAGATGATCCTTCCGCCTCAGCCTTCCAAGTAGCTGGAACTACAGGTGTGTGCCACCATGCCTGGCTAATTTTTTTTATTTATTATAATGATGAGGTCTCACCAAGTTGCCCAGGCTGGTCTTGAACCCCTAAGCTCAAGCAATCGTCTTGCTTCCACCTCCCAAAGTGCTAGGATTACAGGCATGAACCACCGCACCAAGTATTATTGTCAGAGTCCAGGAAGGAATCCATTTGGATTTCCTCTGTCCCTGCAGTCTGTGGAAGAGAACGCTATGTAGTGACTGGAGGGAGGGTGAATCTCTAAGCTAGGGGTTCACCATTGGTGGCTTTCACATAGGATTTTTAAAAAGGAAGAAATAGTTGTGCTTGACAGAGACCAGGGAATTGTGGTAAATAACTTCTATGAGTTTAAGTGCTCCAAAGAGAGTGGAGTTTCTATTGATTCTGGAAGGTGGGTTCCAGACTGGGGAGGCCATGAGTCATGGCATTCTGAGAAGCAAGCCTGGTGCCACCAAACTAAACTGCATCCTCTACAATCAGGTATTAGGAGAAGCAGTGCACTGTCATCTCCAGCCTAGTGCCTCCCTGAAGATGCTGCATAAACCCGAGCTCACACTCAGGGCTGCTGCCCATTCATGCACTGCTGGATGAGGGAGGGGAGGGTCACGGACGAGAGGGACCTGTGAGTCTCACCGGTGTGGGGCGACTGGAACCAGACCACAAAAGGTTCCCTGGAAAACACATCCACGTCTCCATTCTGAAAGTCATGATAGAGGTAGCTTTTTTTCACAGACACCATCTTTTCCCTAGAAGAGAGAAAAGCAAGTCTTCCTTGCTGAGTCAGCCGTTCTCTTCCTTCTTTCAAGAAGCAGATCTGTAGGTTCCCAGGAATTTGTTAGGCTCCAGAGCAGGCTTGAGCACAGAAAGGGAATCTTTATACCTGAGAACAAGGCTGAATCAATGCTTCTCAAAGCCAGAACCCTTGGGAACCGAGGATCTGAACTATACTACTTATGTGTGGCACCCACATGTTAATGTTCAGACTTAAATTGCTAGTAGGAAGAAGACAAGAATATGAAGTTCAGGAGTCAGAAGTGTGAGTGCCTTAGGTTTCCAGCCCTGGGTTAGGACTTGACTGTGAGGAAGAAAGAACTCCCGACCCAGGTACCACTAGGCCACCCAACAAATTAGCAGTCAGGAGGCTGCTTGTGTTTTTAGCTTGAAGGGCTAATACTTTGCGTCAGCCCCAGTTTTGACAGTAATTATTTTGATCAACATCAACAACTGGTTAGAGATCAGAACGTGGCTTTGAAGAAAATAGTCATTTTAAATTCAATTTATCAATGGGCATGTTCGCAGGGCATAGATTATACTCACTTGTAGACAAAGGCATATTGTTCTTTATATGTGTTTCTTCCAAGCCGAGAGCTAATCACATAGCTGTATGTTATGGCTCTTGAGTTTCTAGAAAACATAAAGTTCTCATATTGTATCTGAAAGAATAAAAATTCCCCGATTGTATACATCCCCCTCTGTCCAGTATATCTCCACATACCCAATGGCTTCATGTGGAAGAGTGAGGGTTCATCATTACCTTTGTTTGAGTCCAATAAGAAGGGCCACCGTTGGCTGGAATCTGGCATCTACCAGGATGTTTATAGTCATTATTTCTCTCCTTATGAGGCAAGTACTACAGTTATCTCCTTTTTGTAGTTTGCAAGCGCTAAGCTGGGATTTGAACCCAGATCCAACTCACCCCTAAACCTACGTACCTTGGCCTGCACCTGCGGGAGACCACTGAGACCCTAGAAGACCAAATCAGCCCTAGACCCCAATCTGGTCTATGGCAGGGGATGCAGATGATACTTTCTCAGGTCACCCATCATGTCCACGCACCACTCCTGAGTATTTATCATGTGCAGGAATATTCTCTCTTCTGGAAACCCCCAGACATTTTCTCACAAGTCCTGGGGCTATGATTTCATATCACATCTGTTTATGTCCTGGGGGCTGAGGATACAGCCATGAAGTCCCACTGACCCCACCCTTCACCTGTACCAGGGAAACTGGACTCCATATGCATGTTTGCCAATAACTCTACTCTGGGCAGAGCCTGACACAGTTTCACTCTATCTGCCCACAAAAAGATCTTAGGGCAGGTCTAGAGCTGCAGTGTAGTCTCAGGTTCAGTTGGAAAAAACCAGAAGGTGTATTTAGAGCCAACTTACCTTTCAGAAATTTCCGGAACTTGAGATACATTATTCTAAGACACACCCAGCCACTGGGGCCCCAGGAGTATGGACATTAGATTCTACGGGGAAGAATAGAATCTTCTACTTTGGGGAGACTGGCCCCTTCTGAATCTAGCCTGTCGAGTTCTGGGTTGGCAAACCGCTTGCGGTGACCCAGCTGCAAAGTGACCAAGGCCCACCCTGGCTTATGAAGGGATAAAGGGACAAACATGCGTGGCTTTGCCTGGAGTCTACAGCACAGTCAGACAGGGTGAGGAACACCAAGACCTCTCGGGGTGAAAAGATTTGCCATGGACTGACTTTGGGGAAGATGCCTGGAGCCCACATCTCCCTTCAGTCCTCCACACTCCTGAAAACTGAAGGATTGCCACTCCAAGAAAGGCAGAAGGGACTCAGAATAGAGAACTGGCTTTGGAGTCAGACATGACCCAAGTTCCAAGGTAGGCTTGCTGGTTTGCTGGCTGGGTGACCTTAGGCAGGTGCTTCCTCTCTGTGCAATGAGGGAAGCTTGAATAGTACCTGCCTCCAGGGCTAATGTGGGGAATAAATGAGATAGCACATGGGAACTGATAAACAGGATGCCTGGTCTGTAGCTATGGTAAAAATGGCAGCTGGTACGTGACCCCTGGACCATCACCTGCCATTACAATTCCCTTCTGTGGAGGCTAAAGCGACTCTGTCTTGAAGGTCAATCAGCCATGTTGACTTCTGATTAACCCCAGCTCCAAGAATGCCTCTAAGATTTCTATTTTATCTGCTGCTCCTTGTGTAAGAGTGTGTACTTACATGCCCTTAGGTCAAAACAACTTTGACCAGGCCAAAGCAATCTTGACCATGAATCCTGCCCTTGGGCATATTCATACTGCATTCTTGCCTTTCCCTGCAGTTGTCCTACACCCTCTTTCCCTTTGGTAGATAAGCCCCAGCTCTGGGGGTTAATGGTGCGGGCAGCCACCATCTTGTCTCGCTGCTGCAGGAGACACAGACATGGCTTCTGTTCTTAAGCCCCTATTAAGCAATTCTTTCTGAGAAACTGGATATGTCAGCCTCTTTCTTCAGTTTCTCTGCTTCCTCAGACTTTGGTGGTAGGTTGCCCACCGCAGAACACCTTCCTTTTACTGGTATTAGACATCACTGGCACGTATTGACAACAGCTACATGCTAGCCACTACTCAACCACTTACAGGCATGATTAAGTTTAAGTATTATGACATCCCAGTTCTATAATCTACCTCATTTTACTAATGAGGAAAGCGAGTGCCGGGCATGATGGCTCATACCTGTAATCCCAGCAATTTGGGACGCTGAGGCAGGAGAAGTGCTTGAGCCCAGGCAGACCAGCCTGGGCAACATAGTGAAACCTTGTCTCTACAAAATATCAAAGATTTAGGCCAGGTGTGGTGACTCATGCCTATAATCTCAGCACTTTGGGAGACTGAGGCAAGAGGATTGCTGGAGCCCATGAAGTCAAGGCTGCAGTGAGTCATGATGGTACCGCTTTACATTGCATTAGAGGTTTTTAAGGATTAGGGTGCATCAGAATCAACAAGGAAGCTTCTTAAAATACAGGTTTCCTTTTCACAGATATTCTCCTGCAATAGACAAGGGTCCACAAATACATTTTTTTTTTTTTTTTTTGAGTCGGAGTCTCATTCTGTCGCCCAGACTGGAGTGCAGTGGCCGCTCCCGGCCACCGCAGCCTCGACCTGCTGGGCTCCAGCGATCCTTCCGCCCCAGCCTTCCGAGTAGCCGGAGTTACAGGCATGCACTACCACGCCCGGCTGATTTTTTGATTTATTGTAGAGATGAGGTCTCACTGCCCAGGCAGGTCTCGAACCCGCGGGCTCAGGCAATCCACTCACCTCAGCCTCCCAAAGGCGTGGGATTACAGGCTGAGCCACCGAGCCCGGCCAAATACATATTTTTAATTCACTCTGGGGTGATTTTCAGAAGGGCAGGTCTGTTGATCATTCTTTGGGAAATAATATGAATCATAGAGATTATTCAATATCACTGAAAACTATTTGAGGACATTAATTTTTTGCTTTAATTTTAATTTTAATATCATTGTGGACTTATTATAAAACACTCAAATTATACAAAAGTGTTAAAATAAAAAAACAGATATTCCCCATTCCTTCACTGATCTCCTCCACAATGGTTCTCTATTCACAGTTCCTAGAAATAACTACTATTAACAGTTTGGAGGACATCCTTCCATTTTTTTTCTGTGCCCATAAAAACACAAATGAACATGAATCCTTATTCATGTGTCATGACAACTAAAATGGTCTATTTTAGCTGCAGTTCTGAGCTTGCTTTTTTCAATGTATTACAGCCATCTTTCCATGCTGGAATATTTAGTTCCAACTTATTTTGTAGTAAGCATGCCTTTTTTTTTTTTTTTTTTGAGTCAGAGTCTCACTCTGTCACCCAGGTCGGAGGACAATGGCATGCTCACGGCCACCACAGCCTCGACCTGCTGGGTTCAGGTGATCCTTCTGCCTCAGCCTTCCGAGTAGCTGGAACTACAGGCGCGTGCTTTCACACCTACTTATTTTTTGATTTATTGTAGAGATGAAGTCTTGCCAAGTTGCCCAGACTGGTTTCAAACCTGTGGGCGCAGGCAATCCTCTCACCTCAGCTTCCCAAAGTGCTGTGCTGGCATTATAGGCATGAGCCACCACACTCAGCCCATTTGGGTTTTTTTTGTTTTTTTTGGTTTTTTTTGTGAGCGGCAGTCTCACTCAGTCACCCAGGCTGGAGTGCAGTGGCATGCTTACAGGAACCGCAGCCTCGACCTGCTGGACTCAGGTGATCCTTCCACCTCAGCCTTCCAAGTAGCTGGAACTACAGGTGTGGGCCACCATGCCCAGCTAATTATTTTTTAAAATTTTACTGTAGAGATGAGATCTTACCATATTGCCCAGTTTGGTCTCGAACCTGCAGGCTCAGGTTCTGGCCTCTGCCTCCCAAAGTGTTGGGGTTATAGGCGTGAGCCATTGTGCCTGGCAGTAAGCATGCTTTTTAACAGTTGTATAATATTTCAGCGTGTGAGCATATCTTTTTAATTATTTATTTATTTTGAGTCGAGGTCTCACTCAGATGCTCAGGCTGGAGTGTGGTGGCATGATCACAGCCCATCACAGCCTCGACCTCCTGGGCTCAGCAATCGTTCCACCTCAACCTCCTGAGTAGCTGGGACGATAGGCATGCACCACCACATTTAGCTAATAAAAAAAAAATCTGTAGAGATGAGGTCTCACTATATTGCCGAGTCTGGTCTTAAACTTCTGAACTCAAGCAATCCTCCCATCTTGGCCTCCCAGAGTGCTGAGATAACAGGCGTGAGCCACCACACATGGCTACATACCGTATTTTAAGAGTCAATTTTATTAACTCTTCTGTTGTTGGCTTTCAATCTCTTCTCTTTTTTCTTCGATATTTTCTTTATAACCATGCTTAGCTCAGCCTCTTGTCTGCTTTTTCATTTCTCTCTGTCCCCTCTCCTCATGTTTTTCTCCTATTTTGCTTTATCATATTGAAACCAGCCAGGTGAAAGTTCTCAGGACCATGGCTGAGCGGAAGCCTGGGCAGCGCTGGCCATGTGAGGTGGTGGTCAAACGCAGGCTCACAAGGACTTTCAGGTCCCTGGGGCCTTTCAGGCACCCTTGCACTTGACCCCGACCCACAGAGGGCTCACCCTTCCCCTCTTTACCCGTTCAGCCTCTCCATCAGCATGGGGCAGATCATGTTGTTGCTGTCCTTGATTTCCATCAGGAGCATGATGTCACAGCGTTTGATGATCTGCGGAGAGAGAATTCCCAGGGGTTGGAGGCCATTCACCACAAATACCAAATGCTTTCATTGGACATTTTCTGTGTTTTGACTATTGATTGGGCGCCTGTTAGAATAAGTTAATTTCTTCCCTGGACTAAATGAAGTACTTTCTGAGGTAGGTGCTTTTATTGTGTCCATTTTAAACAAGAGTGGCCTGAGACTCAGGGAAAGTCAAGTAAATTACCCAGTCACCCAGCAAGAAAGTGGCTGAGACAGAATTTGATCCTTACTAATCCGTGTCCAGAGTCCATGATCATGACTCCCCTTATACCCTACCTCTTGGTTTTACTTGAATAATTACAATAATAATAATATCTATCTATCTATCTATCTATCTATCTATTTATTTATTTATTTTTGAGACAGAGTCTCTCTCTGTTGCCCAGGCTGGAGTGTGGTGGCACGATCATAGTTTACTGCAGCTTCAAACTCTTGGGCTCAAGTGATCCTCCTGCCTTAGCCTCCTGAGTCGGTAGGACTACAGGCACATGCCACTATGCTTGGCTTATTTTTAAAATATTTTATAAAGATGCGGTCTTACTATGTTGCCCAATTGGGTCTCGAGCTCCTAGCCCTAAGCAATTCCCTTGGACTTGGCTTCCCAAAGCCCTGGGATTGCAGGTGTGAGCCACCATGCCCAGTATTACAATAATAAATATTTATTAAGCTCTTAGTAAGCAAAGGTAACAGGCTGAATGTCATAGAAATAAAGTATAATAATAATGCTAACAATTATAAGAGCTAATGTTTATTGCCAACCTACTCTGAGTCTCACAGCAACGCTGTAAGATGACTGGGCTTATTAGTCCATTAAACTTAGGCAGAAACCAAGATCAGAGTGGTTGAGTGACTAGCTTAAAGTCATTTAGCCAGTATAGGTAGTAGAGCCAGAATTTGAACTCAGATCTGTATGACTACAGAACCCACAATACTAAACTTTTAAAATAGAGTTCTGCTCTCAAAAACTAATAGTCCAGCAAGAGAGACAAATGGAAACAGCTAGCTACAATGTGAGGCAAATTAAATCTGTGCTAAACAAAAGTCACAAACTGTGGAAGGTATGAAGAATAATTAATTACTTCTGCCCGGAGGATCCTGGAGGGCTCCAAGGAGGAGGTGACATTTGAACAGGCCCCGAAGGATGAGAAGACGATCAGAGGAAAAAGAATAGAGGAGAGGCATCTTTAAGGCAAGCAACAGCCTGGAGACCAGAGTGCAGACCAGGCCTACACCCTTTGGTGACCACAGGGGCCTTTCTGTGTAAGTGTGGGATCTGGGTGAGCTCAATGCCACAGGATTTGTTGGCCAAGGGCAGGGCATCCCCAAGGTTAATTTTGTCCTCTCACATGTCCACCAAAGGCATGAGCAGGAGGATTATGCCACTGGCCTTCTAATTTCATAGCACGTGTTTCAGAAGGATGGAGTTGGGAGAGACACCTGCCCTGCTGTCCAGGTGCCTCTGTGACAGGGGCTCAGCTTTTAAGAAAGGTCTCCAGGCAGGAGACCCACCTGTGCAGTGACTGAGGAGGAAGAGGACTATGTCCCGAGTGTGGATTCTTCCATCAACAGGCTCGAAAACCATGACATCCGCCAGCTAGGGCCCACCAGGGAGCCAGTGCCACCTGCCAACCCAGTCTGCTGATTTAGTGACTGGTGACAGTCAGACTTTTCCAGAAGATGTTTAAAAATGTGTATACCCTTTGATCCACTTTTCATACTTTGAAGAACATCTTCCACTGTAAGGAAATATCCACTCCTTCTTTGCACCTCAGTTTCCTCATCTATAAACTGGGATGATATAGTCATTCCCTCATGGGGTTGCTGAAGAATTAAGTGGAAACTCAGAACAGTGCCAACCATATGGGGAGCCTGTAATAAATTATTAGGACCTGTAGAGATCAAGAGGAAGAAGATGCATCACAACAAAAATTTTGAAAACAACCCAGGTATCCCCAGATAGAAAAGCATTCAATGAAGTATGTTGCAAACACAAAATAGGGCATTCTAGAGCATAAAAGTCATGTTTTAAAAGAATATTAACATCGTGGGGAGTAGTTCTAATATAATAGCAAAATATAGGCCAGGTGTAGTGGCTCACGTCTGTTATCCCAGCACTTTGCACTTTGGAAGGCAAGGGTGGGTGGATTGCTTGAGCCCAGAAGTTCAAGACCAGTCTGGGCAATGTAGTGAAACCTTGTCTCTATAATAAATAAATAAATAAATAAATAAATAAATAAATAAATAAGCAAACCGGGTGTGGTGGCACACACCTATAGCCCCAGCTACTCAGGATGCTGAGGTGGAAGGATCGTCTGAGCCCAGGAGGTCGAGGCTGCCATGAGCAATAGGGGGTCCAGCCTGGGCAACAGAGTGAGATCTTAACTAAAAGAAAAAAATTTAGAATATAAAACTGATGCTATAGGGCAGTGTCCACACTGTGAAATAGATACAGATTTTTTTTTTTAATAGAAAAATACCTATAAGAAAATAACCCAAATGCCAACAACTATTATCTTTGTGTGACAGGATAATGGGAGGGTTTTTCTTCTTCATGTGTTTCTTTTTTTCTTTTTTGAGTTGGAGTCTCCCTCCATCGCCCAGGCTGGAGTGCAGTGGCATGCTCACTGCCACCCCAGTGTGAACCTGCTGGGCTCAGGAGATCCTTCCACCTCAGCCTTCCAAGTAGCCAGAACTACAGGCCACATCTGGCTAATTTTTTGATTTATTGTAGAATTGAGGTCTCACCAATTTGCCCAGGCTGGTCTCAAACCTCTGGGCTCAGGCAATCCTCTTGCCTCGGCCTCCCAAATTGCTGGGATTACAGGCTTGAGCCACCGCACCTGGCCTAATATGTTTCTATTTTTTTAAATAGTCAATATGATTATTTTTAATTTAATAAAATTATTTTATAATTTAAAAAGTAATTTATAATTTTAAAAATTATACCTTTAAAATGTTTCTAAAAATTGAAGTGCTATTTAAAAAAGAAAACTGCTTGATAAGGAAGAAATTGTGAGGGCAGAGATGATAGCCAAAATTTATCAGAACATGACAGGTGCATTTCCAAATTTATTTCACATAAGTAAAATGGGTTGTCTTATAAACGTGTCTAATAATAGTTAACTCTTCTCCTTAATCGTTAATTTTCATGATAACCCTTCGATGCTTGTCCTCTTAATGTCCCTATTGCGTAATTGGGCACCCTGAGGCTCAGTGAAGTTTAGTAATTTAAATGTCAGCAAATATGGGGTAATGGGTTACCTGCACGAAAGAGCCCCCCCTCTTTGAGTTGAGATCTCACTCTGTCACCCAGGCTAGAGTGCAGTGGCATGATCACTGCTCACTGCAGCCTCAACCACGTGGGCTAAGGCAATCCTTCCTCCTCAGCCTCCCTGGTAGCTAGGACTACAGGTATGCACTTTTTATGCCCAGTTAAATTTTATTTTATTTTATTTTTTAAGAGATGAAGTCTTGCTATGTTGCCAGGCCGCTCCAGAGCCCCTTCTTGACTACTAGTCTCACATCTGTAATCCCAGCACTTTGAGAGGCAAAGGAAACCCTCATGACTATGTATGTCCTTATGACTACTCCTCCTCAAAGACTAAGGTCCCTGTTTTGAACTTGCCCTTATCAGTGTGGGGCAAATATTGACCATGGGTTCAGACCCTCTTTCCTAAGTAAAAGATTCAGCCTGCATATTTCCTGTTTCAACCCCTTTTCCCACTTAACAAGCACTTCTGAGCCCCACATCTCCCACTGTTACTGATTCCTACTTCCCTTGGGCAGTTTCCTCAGTACTTCTGGGGATACTTCTTAGAGACAAGAATCCACACTGCAGTGAGCAATGGCTCAATACCCATATCAGAAATCTCCTAAAGTTGGAACCTGTAACTACAGCTGGTTGGCATCCATTCATCCATCCATCCATCCATCCATCCATCCATCCATCCATCCATCCATCCATTTATCCATATATTCTTTTTTTTTTTTTAATTGAAGTCTAACACTCTGTCACTTGGGCTGAAATGCAGTGGCACAACCATGGCTCACAGCAGCCTCCTCAGGCAGCACTCCTGCCTCAGTCTCCCAAGTAGCTGGGACTACAGGCATGTACCACTACACTGGCTAATTTTGTAATTTTATTTTTTGAGATGAAGTTTTATTATGTTGCCCAGGCTGGCCTCAAACTCCTGGACTCAACCAATCCTGCCTCAGCATCTCAAAGTGCTGGGATTATAGGCGTGAGCCACTGCACCTGGTCTATCCATCTATTTATCCATCCATTTGTCCATCCATCCATCCATCCATCCATCCATCCATCCATCCATCCATCCATCCATCCTCCCACCCATCTATCAATCTACTGTTCGTCCACCCAACACAATTTTATTATGGGCCTGCTTTGTGCCAGACAACACACTAGGCCTTGCTTTGTCTCCAACTCCTGGCATAGCACCTGGCATGAGTGATAGAAAAGGAAAAGGTAGGGAGGGAGGGCCATACTGAACCAGTTAAACCGAACTCATGAAGCACAAATATCTATTTTTTTTTGAGTTGGAGTCTCACTGTTGCCCAGACTGGAGTGCAGTGGCCACTCCCGGCCGCCGCAGCCTCGACCTGCTGGGCTCTGGCGATCCTTCCACCTCAGCCTTCTGAGTAGCTGGAACTACAGGCGCGCGCTACCATGCCCAGATAATTTTTTTGCTTTATTGTGGAGATGAGGTCTCGCCTGCCCAGGAGGGTCTCGAACCCACGGGCTCAGGCAATCCACTCACCTCAGCCTCCCAAAGGCGTGGGATTACAGGCTGAGCCACCAAGACTGGCTACAAATATCTATTTTTAAGTCTTCTTTATGGTATTATAAAAGAAATGGGAATAAATTTCCTATTCAATCTATAACAAATAACTTTGTTTTTTGAATTATAAAAATAATTTGCTTACTGTAGAAAATCTGGGAAATAGATAAAAGACAGAGAAAAGTATAAAAATCAATGATGACCTATAATCCTACACCCGGACACTTCTCCATATGATTTATTTATAAAATTTGCATCATAATGATTAGCCTGTTGAGTCAATAGGCCTTGGGTTCATGTCTTAACTTTGAGTAAGTTACTTAAGCTCCCCGAACCCCTAAATTCCTTATCTGTGAACTGGAACAATAAAATACCCTACCCCCTCATGGGGTCAGCATGGGAATTCAATGACATGATGAATATAAAATGCTCAGCTCAGTTCCTGGGACACAATAGGTGCTCAACAAACAGTGGTGATATTTATCATACAGTTTTGCTATCACACAGTTTTTTAGCCTAACATTCTGTGTTTTTTTCCCATTATCATTAAATATTCTGGGTTTTTGTTTTGTTTTGTTTTGTTTTGTTTTGAGTCGGAGTCTCACTCTGTCACCCAGGCTGTAGGGCAGTGGCACACTCATGGCCACCACAGCATCAACCTGCTGGACTCAGGCAATCCTTCCACCTCAGTCTTCCAAGTAGCACGAACTACAGGTGTGCACCACCACACCTGGCTAATTTTTTGATTTATTGTAGGTGTCACCAAGTTCACCCAGGCTAGTCTCCAACATGTGGGCTCAGGCAATTCCCTCACCTGGGCCTCTCAAAGTGTAAGGATTATAGGCATGAGACACCATGCCCAGTCAAATATTCTGTTTTCAAATCTATTCTTGACACACTTTTTCTGCTCAAATTTCAGACCAGTAAAAAGAGATGTCCCCTGGCTCCATCTCCTCAGGAGGAGGCTTCAAGGATGACGGTGCTGAAAAAACCCTCCCAGAGTCGAGACCTGAAACTTTTTTTTTTTTTTGAGTTGGAGTCTCACTCTGTCACCCAGACTGGAGTGCAGTGGCCACTCCCGGCCACTGCAGCCTCGACCTGCTGGGCTCCGGCAATCCTTCCGCCTCAGCCTTCCAAGTAGCTGGAACTACAGGCGCACGCTACCACGCCCGGCTAGTTTTTGATTTATTGTAGAGATGAGGACTCGCCAAGTTGCCCAGGAGGCTCTCGAACCCGCGGGCTCAAGCAATCCACTCACCTCGGCCTCCCAAAGTGGGGGATTACAGGCTGAGCCACCGAGCCCGGCTATGGGCAACTCACTTTACCTCTCTGAGTTCCGGTTGTCTCACCTGCAGAATGGGCACACTAATTTTGGAGAGGTTGTGCTACCGAACTTGGATATTGCATATTAAGGGCCCAGTACATAGCATATGATAGCTGTCATGTGCTGCAGGCTCTGTGAACAGGGAGACACTGCCTCTCACAACCACCATCACACACTAGTGCCTTAAAGTGTCTGGCACGTGTTCTACCTTCAGTGAGTGTTAGATGAACAAGCTCTGTTCTTTTTTTTTTTTTTTTTTTTTTGCGTTGGAGTCTCACTCCATTGCCTAGCCTGGAGTGCAGTGGCATGATCATGACCACCCCAGTGTCAACCTACTGGATTCAGGCGATCCTTCCATCTCAGCCTTCTAAGTAGCTGGAACCGTAGGTACGTGCTACCACACCCGGCTAATTTTTGATTTATTGTAGAGACAACGTCTCTCCAAGTTGTCCAGACTGGTCTCGAACCTACCGGCTCAGGCAATCCACTCACCTCGGTCTCCCAAAGTGCTGGGATTACAGGCTGAGCCAACGAGCCCGGCCCAAGCTCTGTTCTTTAAGGACACTACTGAAGAGCACACAGACAGAGGGAGACTCGCCCAGGCAGGACAACTGCCCATGGATAGGTGGGCCAACCTAAGATGGAGAAGACAGGCCTCTCTCACTCTCCAACCTCCCCAGTGAAGGTCAGAATAGCAACAACATGATGCTGCTGAGTGTATCCCTGAAGGGATAAATTCAGTATGGAGGGGTGGAAAAGTCATCTCAGCTTCTATGGCTGGGTTATATGGTTGGGTTACATTCCGGCTTTTCCCCCTTACTAGCCATGGAAACCTAGATAAGTGACGTCCCTGCTCTGAGCCTCAGCGTTCTCAGTTATGCAGTAGGGCAACACCAGCTAAGTCATAGTATTAAATAAGAATATACAATTCCTGCCAGTCGTGGTGGCTTACTCCCATAATCCTAGCACTTTGGGAGACAGAAGCAGGAGCTATGCCTGAACCCACAGGTTCAAGACCAGCCTGGGCAACTAGGCGGATGTTGTCTCTATCATAAATCAAAAAATTACCTGGGCATGTGGCATGTGCCTGTAGTTCCAGATACTTGGAAACTGAGGTTCAAGGATCACTTTAGCCTAGCAGGGGGAGGCTGCAGTAGCTATGATCATGCCCCTGCATTCCAGCCTGGGCAACAGAATGAGATTCCAACTTAAAAAATAAAAACATAATTCCTGACCTATAGCAGGTTTTTAGTTCATGAGCCCTGGAAATAATCCTATTCTGAATGCCTGGCATTCTGGGGTGACTGCGAGAGTTCTGAATTGGGAGGGCCTCTTGGCAGAATGGTTTGGGAGGGTAAGGCACCTCTGACAAAGATATCAGATCAGCCTAGCAAGACACAGCAGCTTTGGGGAGATGCTGAGTGTAGGGCCTCCCATAAGATGGAATCATCAAGCAACAAAAGGACAGCCACTTAAGACTGTGGTGACATTTCCTGGGTCGAAACAGTGAGGAAGGCAATGGAACTCATTACGTACCCAGGCTCTGTGGGCCACATGTGAAGTGGGGAAAATCGTTTCCTGGCATGTCAGAGTTTCCCAGTGAGCCACCGTGTCACGGGTCCTACAGCTTGGCATGGCTGTCCTGGTTGAACAACAACATCTAGAAGACCTTGGGTACCGTCCAAAGGGCAGGGCCGCCCAGGTCTGTGAGTCTCATCTAACTAAGAACAGAGCCTGCCAGTTCTCATGCCACTCCTCTTTGCCTAATGATAACAGTGGTGGCTCCATCTGTGAATACTCGCCTTGTGCGGGCTCCGCTGGTACCTCAGGCACCTCAAGTTCTCTTAGCCAGCCAGAGCTACAGGTAGTGTCAGCCCCATTTTACTGAGAGGAGCTGGAAGCTCAGTGAGGCGAAGGGCCTCCCCAGTTCACAGCTGGTGGTTGGGATCAGAACCCAGATCTCCTGGCCTTCTCACTGCACCATGGTACCTCTGGAGCTTACTAAAGTCATAACCACCTCTCTAGAGTCTTGGGAAAGGTTTGAGTTCCCAACATAAAAAATAAATTAACCTGTAGGATAAAGAGAATCAACTTACCCTGGAGAAAATGAGCAGTCTCCCAGATACCATCATATTCCCCAAGGAAAGCGTTATCCAAGTGGAGAGAAAGAGTAGAACTGAGAGTCGGGAGAGGTGGAGGAATGGAGGAGTAGGAGAAAGGGAGGGAAAAAGGAACAAAAGAAGGAAGAAGGAGAGAAAGAGAGGAAGGGAGGGTGAGGGTGGGAGAGACAAGGAGGGAGGGAGAGAAGAAAGGAAGGAGGAAAAGGAAGAGAAAGAGAGGATGAGAGAGAAAGAAAGAAAAGAAGGAAGAAAGCGAAGGAAGAAAGAAGGAAAGAAAGAAAAACTTGCATTTCATAGATGGTTTAAAAGACCAGCTGTACCATGTTACTTCATCTTTCTTTGCTAATCATTTCTGCATAGGGAATAAAAATTCTTCTTCATAAGGATTATGACATGAACTCATGTTTCTAGTCCCTGATACAGCAGGCACTCAATAAGTGGTAATACAGATCCTCACAATAGGCAACCTTACCTGAAACTCATTATGAGCCAGATATTGCGTTAAGAGCTTTACAGTTGCCAACTCATGTCATCCCTCCAACAATGCTGCGGGGAGGCGCTATTATTACCCCTGTTTTAAGATGATGGCAGGAGGCACAGGAGGTAAAGCAGTTATTGTTCCAAGCCAGCTGCTACCTCCACCCTAAGGGCTAACTTTAACGTCCCCCTGAATCTCTTAAGAGAGGTGTCCAGGTGTCGAAGGAAGGGGGGCTCACCTTCACAATGACATCCATGGCGTTCTGGTCTCTCTTCTTGCTTTCCCCAAAGGACCTCACATTGAAGGAGCAGATCCTCAGGGCCAGGACGCTGTGGATGGAGAGGAGGAGAAGTAGCAGAGGGGCCAGCCGCTGCGACATCCTGACGCTGATGTGGCTTCAGGACTCCTTGAGAAGACAGCAGTGCTCAGAGTGCAGGATTCTGGCCACCACTGCAGGCTTCACCGACTTATAAAGCCTGTAGATAACAGGAATTACTGGATTCCTCGTTGCTACTTTCAGTTCTCTGAGGAACTGAGGATCATGGGTTTTAATCCCCAAAGAGATGAGGATATATTGGGCTAGTCTTTTAGGAGCCCTGGTGAGGAAATGGGCATGCCTAACTTAGGCGCCATCCTCTATAAAGTCACTCCTAGCCCAACTGGAGCCAGCTCTGACATCTGGCCATCTCCTGCGGTTGCATGCCATGTGCCTTTTCCTGATAGTGGATGAACACGGAAGTGGTCCACCCCAGAGGGCACCAGGAGTGATGAAGACTTCTGTTGGGGGACAATGAAGCAGAAGTCATGGGAAATTTGACTGGGTTTTCTCTAAATCACTGAGCTTCGGTGGTCTGCTGCCCCTGGACACACCCTGACTCTAACTGCCCTGATGGGTGTAAAATTAAGGTTAAATCTTATCTTGAATCACTTAATTTTTTAGGCTGTTTTACTGTACATGACTTAACACATCAAATACTGGCCATGTGTTGTCAGAGAGAATGGTTGGAGATCTGCAAGAATGTACTAGGAAAATGTATCTGGACCTCAAGAACAGTGAAGACCTGGAGAGAGCCATGATTCAACTTGATATTAATTTAATGTTGGTGAGAAAGGAGGATCTTGTAAGAATTGTAGGATTTCAGCCCACTTCAATCGACTTTTAGAGATTTGGGCAGGAAGATGTGAAGATATGGAAAGCAGAAGAAATGCAAAATCCAATAAAGGTATATGAACAAACTTTGGCAAGGACAGGGAGGGACTGAAAATAACCTGAAACCGGCATTGGGATCACCGCCTCATCCCCTCTTGAAGTCATGGCTGAGGCCACAGCCACAGGGAAAATTCTACGTATATCACCAACAAATATCTAATCAGCATCCTGGCCAAGCATGACAGGAATTCTAAGAGATAACCCCAAATAGAACATGGAAGGAAATAATAGTTTCCTGAGCTCGTACTGAGATAAATCTCCCTGTCATCTGCAATCTCAGGTCTCAGACCTGCTTGAATCTCTGGTTAAAAAAAAAAAAGTAGCTCTGGTTAAAAGGGTGGCTAATTGTCTTTGTTGGTGAATGGGCATCTTTCAACCAGAGAAATGTTTGAAATTAAGTTTAGAAATATTTAAAAGACTCAGAGCCATGGCACAATTTGTGTCTGTTTATGTGTGTGTGTATGTGTATGTGTGTGTGTTTGACTCAGGTTCTCACTCTGTCACCGAGGCTGGAATGCAGTGGCACAATCATGGCTCACTGCAGCCTCAACCTCCTGGGCTCAGGAGATCCTTCTACCACAACCTCTGGAGTAACTGGGACTACAGGTGAGTATCACCAGGCCTGGTTAATTTTTTGATTTTTTTTTGTAGAGCCAAGACCTCACTATGCTGCCCAGGTTAATCTCAAACTCAAGAAATCTGCCTGCCTTGGCCTCCCAAAGTGCTGAGATTATAGATATGAGCCACCACGTCTGGCCATGTATGTTTTAAGATGGAATATGTGGTATTTTATGAACTTGCAACATATGAGAGGTTTGGGGGTCTGTTACATTAACAATCTTGTAACTCCAGTTTAAAATGTGCAATTGAGGGGAATTGATCCAGTTTTGTGACTTTAAGTGGAAACCTTACTAAGTTTGCATACAGTTCTGGTACATGTATAACAACTTTGAGTTAGCAGTATTTTGTAAGTTTAATTTATTAAAATTAAAAATATTTAGTGTTTTATACTATAAGAAAGGAATTGGCAGTAGTGGGACACTGCCGGGGGGCATATAACATCAATAAGGGTAACCAATCTCAAACCAGACAAAGTAGGGACCAAGGGGAGGCCCAAACTTTGCCTGTATGATGACCACTTGCATACCTAATCCTGAGTTGTACTCCACATCTTTAAAATTAAATAAAAATAAAATACTTAGTATTTTTAAAATGTGATTTTTTGGTTAGTTCAATTGAAGACTTTAAAAAGGAAATATAGTATATTAAACTTATTTCTTAAAGTTTAAAATGTTTGTAAATGGGCCCCAAACTCCTTATAAGTGATTATTTAGATTCTCTGGATTTAGAGTTTCCAGATTAGCAAATTAAAGTGCAGAGCAGTAGGTAGAATTGAATTTGGAATAATTCTAATTTAATTGGGCAACCTGTATTTTGTCTAGAAATCCTAGTTAGACTTGTAAAAGGACTAAGAACTTTTGTAAACTGAACTTAAAGATAATAATCACCACATCAGAGTCCTGGAAAGGTGTTTAGTTCCTAACATTAAAAATGAGCCAATGTGTAGGATAAAGAGAGTCAACTAAACTGTTTTTTTTTAATTTGTAGCTTTGATAATTTCAGTGTTAATTTGAAAAATAAAGTAAACATCTAAACAGTGATTTCTGCATATAGAAACTGTCCTTGAGGACTTAAAAAAATTCACATGAACAGATTAGACCCATTCTGTAATTAGCATATTCACTACATGAGATCAGACTTTTAAAAATGCCTGGATTTTGGAAGGAAAATCGTAAGAGCCAAACTTAACTGAATCCAGTTAGGTGCAGGTGCCATGTTGAGAGATTTCTGGATTTCATATCACTCACTACTCCCCAAGGCCTTACTATGGTAACTGCATTTGAACAAACTGAGGCTTGTGTCCAAAGATAAAAAGCCAGGATGTGGCAGAGCTGGGACTCGAACCCAGTCGCTCTGACTCCAGACTAGCCTTCGCACCCATCGAATCAGGCACACCCAAACCTTAATGTGAGCGACTGCAGGTACAGTGGTGGGTGATGGGGAGGAGATGAAAGGACTTCCACTTTTTACTCTATACACTTGTGTATTTTTTGATTTTTTTAAAACAAAAACTTGTACTTCTTTTTTATGGAATTGGAGTCTCACTCCATCACCCAGGCTGGAGTGCAGTGGCATGCACGCTCACGACCACCACAGCCTTGACCTGCTGGGCTCAGGCAATCCCTCCACCTCAGCCTTCAAGTAGCTGGACATACAGGATATGCCACCACACCCAGCTAATTTTTAAATTTATTGTAGAGATGAGGTCCTACCAAGTTGCTCAGGTTGGTCTCGAATCTGTGGGCTCAGGTAATTCTCACACCTCAGTCTCCCAAAGTGCTGGGATTGTGGCGTGAGCCACCGCCCCTGGCCAAAAAAACACTAGTACTTCTTTAGCAATTAAAGAGAAAGAAGAAATGCTAGAAGCTTTCCATTATTTTAAGTAGATTAAATAATGTCCATGCAAACACACTTTCTGTCTTTGTGTGTGGCTGTGTCACAGGAAGCCTCGCCCACCTACAGGAGACACTGATGGTGTGAAGGGATTGGCATGAGCAGGGCTGTGCTGGAGGGGACACGGAAGGCAGAAACCCTCTGTCTCGCCCTTCAACTGGCTCCTGTTGCTGGGAACTGGGAATTTTGAGGCAGTCCCTCCCAGGAGCCTAGAGCCTAGAAGGGCAAGCAAATACTGGCACTGGCCTGATGCATGCTGACCACTTTGTGATGACATTTCCTGCCACCTGTACTTCCAAATACCAGACTGAAAGATGCGCTTGGAGAAAAGGATAAATACACATTGCTCCTTCTTGGAGATCATGCACATTAGCATAGTAATGTTCTGAGAAGTCCTGTAGTTTAAAAAAGCTGCTTAACTGTGTTGAAACAGGGTGTCCCAAATTCATGGAACTCTTTTCTTCATTTAATTCCATTGACTATCTTCAGCAACTTCCATTCTTGGGAACACTGAACCTGATAGTGCAGGGACAATCAGATCCCCTCAAAGACTCAAGCTGTGTCCTGGTTTGTAAGTCCCTGTCAAAGAGTCTTATGCAGCCGGGCTCGGTGGCTCAGCCTGTAATCCCGCGCCTTTGGGAGGCTGAGGTGAGTGGATTGCCTAAGCCCGCGGGTTCCAGACCCGCCTGGGCAGCGAGACCTCATCTTTACAATAAATCAAAAAAGCAGCCAGGTGTGGTAGCACATACCTGTAATTCCGGCTACTCGGAAGGCTGAGGCGGAAAGATCCCTGGAGCCCAGCAGGCGAGGCTGCGGTGGCCAGGAGCGGCCACTGCACTCCAGTCTGGGTGACCGAGTGAGACTCCAACTCAAAAAAAAAAAAAAAAAAAAGAGTCTCATGCATGTCACATGAATGGGCAGAACTGAGAATCAGGAGTTCAGACACATGGCCCCAAACAGTCATCCACCCTGGACCCTAATGGGACGGGAGTCAGCAGAGGCTGTTATGCTGGAATAAAGGTGACCTTAGCACTTGAGAAAGGAAAGATGGAAATTCCAGGTGGAGCAAAGGTGTCATGGGCTGAGTCACCCAAGAGCAGCAAGAAGAAACAAGGGAAACAAGGGCCTGCAGGAAAGTCCCTACTACTGGCAGAGGATGAGCCTCGTGACCCAAACAGGTGTTTCCAGTGACTGATGCTGCTCTTTGTCTAATATTGAATGAGCCCTGGCAATAATCTTGTAACATATGCAAAATGCCCCATCATTGTGTTTCACAACTGGATTGGGGCTTGGGGTGTGGAAGCTACATTATTTAAGTTTGCATAATTGTGACAAACCTTGCTTTTGTAGGACGGTGTCCAGCTGATGAAACAGGCTCTGGGTTTCAATCTCACATGGCATCTTCCATACAGAGCTGTGCCTGGACCTCAAGAGTGTCACTTTCTGGGGGCAGGCCTGGGGGTGTCACTACTCTGATTAAAATCCTTCAAGGGCCTGGCTTGGTGGCTCAGCCTGTAATCCCAGCACTTTGGGAGGCCAAGGCAAATGGATTGCCTGAGCCCACGGGTTCGAGACCAGCCCAGGCAACTTAGCAAGACCTGGTCTCCACAATAAATTTGGCCTGGCTCAGTGGCTCAGCCTGTAATCTCATGCTTTGGGAGGCCGAGGTGAGTGGATTGCCTGAGCCTGAGGGTTCGAGACCCACCTGGGCAACTTGGCAAGACCTCATCTCTACAATAA